AATGAAGCATACCTAGACAACCAAGAAATAAAATAAAAAGTCTTAAGAAAGTGATTTGAAGGGTGAGTTGAAATGAACCTGAAACAATTTAAATGAGGGAAAAGTGCAGGTCAGGCTGGCAGTAGCAAGAGCTTGAGTGAAGGTGAGAAGCAACAAGCTGGTCACATTTTAAACTTGAGTACATCTAATTACCTCAACAAAAAGAAGAAAAAATAAAAGGTCAATTGTTACCACATTTGCTCAAAAAGATTCCCACCCATCCATTTAAAATTAAAATAAAAAAACCTCCCTAGACTCTCTATTAAAAAAAAGATTGAGATTCAGAAATGTCCCTTAATTGTAGTCTCCATTAGAAAGTTTCAGAAGAGCCACAAACCAAGATTAGGTACATATTTTGTCAATACTTAAAATGTAAAAAATGACAAGTGTTGGCGAGGATGTGGAGAAAATGAACTCTAGTGCAGTTGGTGGGAATGCAGACTGGTGCAGCCACTGTGGAAAGCAACATGGAGTTACCTCAAAAACTTAAAAACAACTGCTTTATGACCCAGCAATTCCACTTCTGGGAGTATATCCAGAGAAACCCAAAACTAATTCAAAATACATAGACACTCCCATGTTCACTGCAGCATTATTTACAATAACCAAGATTTGGAAGCAGCCCAAGTGCCCCTCAGTAGAAAGATGAGTGAATAAAAAAAGCTGTGGTACATTTACACAATGGACTACTACTCCGCCGGAAAAAAAGGAAATCTTACCTTTTCTGACACCATGGATTGCCTTGGAGAGTACTATGCTAAGTGAAATATACCAGTCAGAGAAAGACAAGTAAGTACCATATGATTTCACTTATATGTGAATCTAATGAACAAAATAACAAAACAGAAACTGACAGCTGTCAGAGGGGGGACTGGGGAAGCTGGGTGAAAAAGAAGGGATTAAGAAAGAAAGAAAATTCCGACAATAAAATAATAATAAAAATGTAAAGAAATTTTTGTTTGAAATTTTTCTAAAGAGGGTTAACAAATTTATTCAGTAGGGCTGTATGGTGAAAAATTACCTAGCATGTTGATGCAAAACAAAAATTACTTCAACAGATAGAAATCGGGCGCAAGTTCCACTACTAATTTAGCAGCAATTTAAAATTATAAAGTGCTGTAACTTCTTATCTTCAAACTACCATCAACCTCCCCCAATCACCACCACTGATAAGAAACTTTTATTCTTTTCATTTTCTATTGATTTTTCAGACAGCGAGAGGGAGGGGAAAGATGGGGAGAGAAACACCGGTGCCTCCTCTCCTGAATAGGGGTTGAACCTGCCACCTTTTGGTACACAGGATATGCCTAACAACTGAACACACTGGCCAGGGTAGAAACTGTTGTTTTTCTTAATGACCTCAAAATAACTAATGTAATTTTCTTAAAATAATATCTTACACTTATTTAGCTGTTTGTCGTTTTTCACAGCCATTATATTCACTGAGTCTCACAACCACCCAGCGAGGTACCCGGTTTTACAGAGAAAGTACTGTAGACCAGATAAGGTAAGTGAATAGCTCAAGGTCACACAGGTACCTACTGTTAAGGTATGAATTCCTAAACCAGTATGTGTCTGTTAGGACGAAGTCTTTAAAATAGGATTATTAAAACCCTTTGGGAGGTTAACAAAAATTCAGTAATCTTAAAGTAGAATGGAATGGTAAACATTACTTCAAATTTACTTGGGAAAAAACATTGATTTTACCCTAGCCCAGCATCCCTTTCATTTAAAAAATATAATTATTTTAGTTTAGCACCTTCTAGAACTCTAACTGCCAAAAATATTTTAAAACTTTTAGAAAGTAAATGAAAAACTAAAATAAAAAGTCTGTTTATGGACACAAACTAAATAGTAAATGTCAGCTGAGCAGATTTGCCACTCAAACTCCTGAAAAACTGGGGAGCAAATGGAAAAAATGATAATCTTAATTACAGTTATTCAATTCTTACGGATACTGGCACATTCATAGAAAGGCAGTTATGGAAAAAGCCCACAAACCCCAATCATGTTAATATGCTCTCTTAAGCATAAAACAAAAAATAAAAAAACTCCCTAAACAATCTCACAAAGATGTTATAAAAGCCACATTAATTCAATATTCCTGGGGCTGAATATGGAGCAGGGAGTTTCAAAAACATTAGAAACTGTTTATTCCAAAATTCACACTTAAAATTAACCTCCTTGCATGATGGAAATATTAAAATAAGCCTCACTAACATCCATTGTAATTTATTGTCTTTAAACCTCTGATAATTCCACTCCTCAACCCTGTGTCCCTTCTCCAAGCCCCTATCCCCCGTGTACATGCGACACACAGGCCTCATATATAGGCCTCTTGCCTTTTTCTCTAACAACTAGGACCTTTGTTCCAACACTCGGTTTTTCACCCCAGTCAATAGCTCTTTCAACTTTCTATCCCGTATATATTTTTTGTTTTGTTTTTAGAGAGGAGATTCTGAGCCTCAACTTCACGGGTCTTTAAAAATGAAATGTGAAAAATATCTAAAGAGACTGGAAGGGACTTGAAAGTTACAGGCACCACTAAAGGGCCTACAAAACAGAGTCAAGCCCGGGGATCGGGTGATTTGGCAGCCCAGGCCGAGTCAGGAACGCCAACTAGGGAGGGAGACAGCAGGGGCGCAGGGGGAAGTCCACTCAGGACGATTCACTGCTTTTAAACGCCCCCCACCCCCAAGCACACACGGATGTTTACACACTGGTACAGTCCCTCCTCCCCTCAACTAACGAGGCAATTAAACTGTACCCACCGCCGGGCACGCTGCTGAAGCTGAAGCTAACCCTCCGCCAGACAAAACGGCCTTATCGCCGACCAATCTGCAAGGGTTTAGGAGCAGCCCCTTCCGTCCCCCTCACCACACGGGGGCACCGACTCCCTCCCGCCCCTCCGCAGGAGTTTCAATGTCTAACTTATTTCCCCCCCGTTGGCGTGTGTTTTTAAATCGTCATTAGTTTCTCCAAGAAATTTAGGCTTTCCCTTATTCTGAGGAAGGGAGCGACCCGGAGGCCAGGGTTCGGGGTTTCACAACCTTCGTTATTTGAACTCCCCTCTCACTTGTTTCTGAGGTAGAAACCCACTCACTGTGGAGAAGGGCGGAGGAGAAAGAGGGGAACTGAATGGACAAACGGCATAATACGTTTTATGTAACCCATATATAAATAAATTAATCGCCCGAGTCGCTTTGAATGCTAATACGAACGGAGTGACAATTGGTCCATCTCGCCCCCCGCCCCCCGGACCCCCTCCCCCCAATTCCCGTTCTGGTCTTTTTACAAGGATGCTCCGCTCCCCTCAGCCAAGTTTCTGGGCCTCTTTTCATGCCACCCCCCCCCCCCACCCCGCATGCCCAGGCCCGTCTCGTCGTCAACCTCCCTCAGCGTCAACTTCCCACGAATAACACTGGCCAGCGCGGACCCCGTCCACGGGCCCGCCCGGCCTCAACCGGTCCCCCCGGGGAGGAACCCCTTACTGCGGTCGAAAGGCCCCTCAAGGCTCTCCCTCCTCTGACCCTCGCGGGCACAACTGTTGTCACTCGAGCCGCTCCCTAGTTTCCATTTTCGGGACGGCCTGGCCCTGGAGGCTCCCCTCACCCGGTTCC